TCAAAGAACAGTCATCATAGTCATTGATAAATTAATATAAATACACTCAACAGCCTAGCACGAGAGGGAGGAGTTAATTCAAGAGTCTCAGCATATTCATGAAAATAAGGACTCTGCCTACACATATGAGGAGAACACAAATGGGAACTTTCATATTGGGTTTTCCCAGAGACTCCTAGGAGCATTTATGTAATCTAAGAATCTGTAAGGGAAAATACATGTTCATTATAAAGCAGCCTGTCATTAAGTAAGCTAGCCACTGAGAAATACAGGTTTCACTATTATTATTATTATTATTATTATTATTATTATTATTATTATTTTGAGTATTATTTTGAGTTTTCAAGACAGGGTTTTTCTGTGTACCTTTGTAGACCAGGCTGGCCTCGAACTCACAAAGATCTGCCCAACTCTGCCTCGCAAGTGCTGGGATTAAAGGTGTGCACCACCACTGCTCTGCTTACTATTATTATTTTTATTGTATATATTTATAGACAATTTTATTTCTATTTTCATTTCATATATATACATGATTTTATGCATTTTTAGGTTTTTATTTATTTTATTTTCTTTGTTTTTTTCAGACAGGGTTTCTCTGTGTAGCTCTGGGTGTCCAGAAAGTCACTCTGTAGACCAGGCTAGCCTCAAACTCACAGAGATCCGCTTGCCTCTGCCTGCCAAGTGCTGGGATTAAAGGTTTGCACCAACACTGGCCCCAGTTTTTAGTTGTTTTTCTTTTGAAAAACTTCCTTACTGATGATCCCCATAGTATCTGGGACTAGTTTACATTCCAGCCAGCAGTATAAAAGGAGTCCTTTTTGTCCACATCCTCACCAACATTTGTTACTTGTTTTGGTTTTCTGACAGTCATTTAGGTTGCAGTGTACTTCTGATTTGCATTGAGGTGGAACACTTTTATGTTTGTTGGCTGTTTATATTTCATCTTTTCAGAGCCATATGTCTATTTCATTAATCAATTTATTGAGTTGATTTTTGTAATATTTTACATTTATGTACTTTATGTGTGTATGTGTGCATGTGTGTACAGCACACATGTGGAAGTCAGCAGACAATTTTCAAGAGTTGGTTCTCTCCTTCCCAAGAGATCTAACAGGAAAGTGCTTTCTCACCAGCCCCAGTTGAATTGTTTGATTTCTTTTAAGTTTTTTTTTTTAAGAATTCTTTGTAGGCTAGGTGGTGGTGACATACACTTTTAATCCTGGCACTTGGGAGGGAGAGGAAATCGGATCTCTGTGAGTTAGAGAACAGACTGGTCTACAGAGTGAGTTCCAGGACAGCCAGAGCTATTACACAGAGAAACCCTGTCTCAAAAACAAAAAAAAACATTGTATATTGCAGATAATAATTATCTGTCATATGTATATCTAGTAAAGATCTCCCATTCTATAGGATATCTCTTCATTCAGTTACTCTTTCCTTTCTGTATAGAAACCTTTTAATTTTAAGAAGCTCTATTTGTCAGTTGTTTACATTATCTATTATTTCCAGAGTTATTATGGTCTTATTCAGAAAGATCTTGACTATGCCTACATCTAAAAGCGTTTTCTTTACCCTTTCCTTTTGTAGTTTCAGGTCTTACATTTCATCCATTTGAGATTGATTTTTTTTACTGGGTGGGAAATAAGAACCCAGTTACATTAATTTTCACAGCACTATTTGTTGAAGAGGCTTTTTTCTAACTTTTAAAAAAAATTTTGTCAAAAATCAGATGTCTATAACTGCATGGGTTTATATCTGGGTCTTTTATCCTATTCTATTGATCTATATATCTGTTTCTGTGTGGTTACCATGCTGTTTTTCTTACTATAGCTCTGTAGTGCATGACATATAAAATCAGGTGTGGTGATACCTTCAAACATAATTCTTTTTGATCAAGATTGCTTTGGCTATGTGGGGTCTTTCATACTTCCATATAAATCGGGAGATAGTTCAGTGGGTAAAGTACTTGCTGTTCATGTATGAAGGCCTGAGTTCAGATCCTCAGCACCCAGATAAAAATCTGGGCATTGTGGTGCGTTCCTATAACTCCAGATTTGGGGAAAGAGAGACAGAAGAATCACTAGGGCTTGGTGGCTAGATAGTGTTACAAAAATCAGTGGGTTCTAGGTTCAGTGACAGACCCTGTTTTCTAATTTATTTTCTGTTTCTATAAAAACAGGAACTGGCCAAAACTACCCTAGAGGAAGGAAGATATTTCTTTGGCTTACATTTCCAGGTCACACATTGAGGAAAGTCAGGGCAGGAATTCAAGGAGGAGTTTAAAGCAGAAACCATGAAAGAATTCTGCTTATTGGCTTGTTTGAAGACTTATGCTTCACTTTCTTTCTTTCTTTCTTTCTTTCTTTCTTTCTCTCTCTCTCTCTCTCTCTCTCTCTCTTTCTTTCTTTTTTTTTGGTTTTTCGAGACAGGGTTTTTCTGTGTAGCTCTGGCTAACCTGGAACTCACTCTGTAGACCAGGTTGGCCTCAAACTCACTGAGATCAACCTGCCTCTACCTCCCTGAGTACTGGGTGTACACCACCAAAGCCCGGCTCCACTAGCTTTCTTTTTCTTTTAAAAGTATTTTCTGTGTATGGATGTCTTGCTTGCACGTATGTCTGTGTACCGTATGTATGTAGTGGACAAGGAGGTTAGAAGAGGGCATCAGATTCCCTGGAACTAGGTTGTGAACTATTAAGTGGTGGCTGGCAATCAGACCGTGGGTCCTCTGGAAGAGCAGCCCGTGCTCTTAACCATTGAGCCATCTCTCCAGCCCCTACCAAGATTCTTTAAACTAAATGTCCTGCAACATTTAACAAAATTAAATTGTACCCAAAAGGAGCTATTTTTTTTCTGACAGGAGTTCCTGTATCTAAGACTGGCCCCAAACTTGCTTTGTAGCTGAAGATGATCTTGAGTTCCTCTTTTTTGATTTAATTTTTTTTTATTTTAGAGACACTCGTATTTACATATCCATACCCCCCATTCCCTCACCCTCCCATCCTCCCGTGTTCCTCACCAAGATCCCCCAACCCACCCCCATCACCTCTCCAGCTGTAGTGAGGCCCTCCATGGGGGACCATCAAAGTCTGTCATATCATTTGGAGGAGGGCCTACACCCTCTTTGCTGTATCTGGGATGCAACAGTATCCCTCCATAGGGAATGGGCTCCCAAAGTCCATTTGTGCTCTAGGGATAAAGACTGGTTCCACAGTTAGAGGACCCATATACTGTCTTGGCCTCCTAGCTGACACCCACATTCAAAGGGCTTGGCGTGGTCCAATGCTGGTTCCCCAGCTTTACGACTGGGGTCTCCATGCTCTCACTAGGTCAGGTCAACTGTTTCTTCGGGTTTCTCCAGTACCTCTACACCACATGTAGCTACAGTTTCTGGAATGTTTATCATTGTAGCTGTTTTTCCCTTCTAATTCTGTCTTAAGTTATCTGTTAAGAGTGGCCCTAAACCAGGTGTGGTTGTACACACCTGTAATCCTAGAATTCAGACACAGACAAGATAATCACTTTGACTTTGAGGCCAGCTGGGGCAACATAGCATGGCTAAAAATGAAACAAAACAAAAGCAAGAGTGGCCATAAGCTAAAATATCTAGTCTCTAGGAGATGTTAGGGTTCTTATGTCAGGAAATACCTAAGGAGAAGATGAAACTAAATTTAGCAGGAAGCAGAAGAGATTGATTACTCATAGGTGAGAGGTACTGACTGGAAGTAGCAGGGAGCCAGCCTCTGGCACTGTAAGATGATTGGTACAAATGGGATCTATATAGCAGATGCCAATAGCACCCTGCCTACCATCTGTTCCTTTTGTAGCCATCACATAATACTCCAATTTGGTGGCTTGAAATAACATAAATTTATTCTTTCATAGTTTTAGAGTGTAGACTTCTAAAATTAATTTTACTAGGCAAGGTTGCACTGTCTTATTTGGTTCCTAGTGGTTGTTACATACCATAATTTGTGGTCACATCTTCAAGGCTGGAATCTTCAAATCACTTTTCCTTCCCCTGTTTCTCCTCTCTACTTCTCTCTCCTTTTCTCCTCTCTTTTCACTTCATGTTTCCCTGTTTTGACTTTTGAGACATCGCCTCACATTTCTCAGACTGGCCTTAAACTTACTATGTAGCTAGGGATGACCCTGAACTTCTGGTCCTCCCATCTTCACCTGCCAAGTTTTGGGAATAGATGAGTGTACCACTACACATGGCCCATCAAAGTTCTTGCTTCTTTGTCTTCACAAGGCCTTTTCAATGTGTATTTAATTTCTATCTGCCTAAGACTGCATGGGGACTAGAGATATAGCTTTATGGTAGAGCACTTGCACATTACACACAAACCCTGGATTCCATCCCCAGCACTACACACAAAGATAAATAATACTTGTGATCACATTTACAGCCCACCAGCATAGTCTCCACATCTCAATATCCTTAACTTTATCATTTCTAGAAAGACTCTTTTAAAATTATTTTTTAAATTTAAATGAAAAACAACCTTATTTTCCATACCAATCACAGTTCCTTCTCCATCCTTCTTCCCACTCCCCTCTAGAAAGACTCTTTTGGGGATTAAACATGGCTATGTTTTAGGGAAACCATTTTTAGCCTACCAGTTCTCCTCACCTTGTGACAAGCAATGATGTCTCCAGACATTTCCAAATATTGCATGGAAAACAAATTGCCCTGAGAACCATTATCCTAAGTACATGAGAACAGTGGGCTCTCTATAATCCACAATCATTCTCCATGAATTTTCTGGCTTCCTCACCCTGGAGTGCTGCTAGGGGTTGATTTACTAGTTACTTTTTCTGTTGTGGTGATTAAAAAAAATCTTGACTGCCAGGCATTGGTGGCGCACGCCTTTAGTTCCAGCACTCGGGAGGCAGAGGCAGGCAGATCTTTGTGAGTTCGAGGCCAGCCTGGTCTACAGAGCCAGTGCCAGGATAGGCTCCAAAGCTACACAGAGAAACCATGTCTCAAAAAAACAAAAAAAAAATCTTGACCAACTCAAGGGAGAAAAAGCTTATTTTGGCTCACAGTTGGAGGGTAAAGTTCATCATTTCAGGGAACTCATGGCAGGAGGAGCTGAAGGCCACCCACAGCCAGGAAGCAAAGAATGATGAATGTGCCTGCTCAGTTAACTTTCATATTTTAATAGTTTTTGTTACGTTTATTTATTTCTACGTGTATATGAGCGCATGTGGAGGTCATAGGAAAACTTTCAGGAGTCAGTTCTCTCCTACCATGTGGAATTGAACTTAGGTGGTCAGACTTGGCAGCAATTGTCTTTACCTGCAGAGTCATTTACTCCTATTTTATTTCTAAAGTATATCTTTTCTGGGCATAGAATTCTTGGTTAGCATTTATTTCTTTGAAATACTATACATTTGGAAAACAATCCATTCTGGGTTCTCTTGTTTGAATTGAAAAGGTTGTATTAATATCACTGAATGAGAGTAAAGGCCATGACAAAAATTTTTGGTTAAATTAGACAACTTTTAATTTCTGTTAGACAGGGCTGTCTCCCTAAAGCAAGGGTTGAGAGAATAGCATTGAATATAAGAGAAAATGGGGCTTATATAGCTCAAAAACTTCAAGGCTAGGGGGTTTA